AGTAACGCCCAACACCGCGGTGCAAACCGTTAGTAAACGGGGCTGGGCTGCACAGTGTGCCGTGCTGAGGGCAGGCAGAGCACCCAGCATGGGAAGGGTGAGGGAATTCACAAACCTCTGCTGTCAGAGCATCTTTTGGGGTGTTTCCTCACGGTGGGATGTTCTTACGTTATTCACAACATCCAGGGAGGGTGATGGGGATGTGCTTGTGGTCCTCAACCCCCAGAAAGCCAAATTTTGTCACTGTTGCTTTCACCCTGTTGCTGGGTGGCACAGTGTGCCATGCTGAGGGCAGGCAGAGCAGCCAGCACGGGAAGGGTGGGGGAATTCACAAACCTTTGCTGTTGGAGCATCTTTTGGGGTGTTTCCTCACGGTGGGGTGTTCTGATATTATTCAGAGCATCCAGGGAGGGTGATGGGGATGTGCTTGTGCTCCTCAACCCCCAGAAAGCCAAATTTTGTCACTCTCCCACCCAGCCACAGGAAGGGTGGGGGAATTCACAAACCTTTGCTCTTAGAGCATCTTTTGGGGTGTTTCCTCATAGTGGGGTGTTCCTATGTTATTCAGAGCATCCAAGGAGAGAGATGGGGATGTGCTTGTGGTCCTCAACCCCCAGAAAGCCAAATTTTGTCACTGTTGCTTTCACCCCGTTGCTGGGTGGCACAGTGTGCCATGCTGAGGGCAGGGAGAGCACCCAGCACAGGAAGGGTGGGGGAATTCACAAACCTCTGCTGTTGGAGCATCTTTTGGGGTGTTTCCTCATGGTGGCATGTTCTTACGTTATTCAGAGCATCCAAGGAGGGTGATGGGGATGTGCTTGTGCTCCTCAACCCCCAGAAAGCCAAATTTTGTCACTCTCCCACCCAGCCACAGGAAGGGTGGGGGAATGCACAAACCTCTGCTGTCAGAGCATCTTTTGGGGTGTTTCCTCACGGTGGGGTGTTCGGATATTATTCAGAGCATCCAAGGAGGGTGATGGGGATGTGCTTGTGCTCCTCAACCCCCAGAAGGCCAAATTTTGTCACTGTTGCTTTCACCCCGTTGCTGGGTGGCACAGTGTGCCATGCTGAGGGCAGGCAGAGCACCCAGCATGGGAAGGGTGGGGGAATTCACAAACCTCTGCTGTTGGAGCATCTTTTGGGGTGTTTCCTCATGTGGCATGTTCTTACGTTATTCAGAGCATCCAGGGAGGGTGATGGGGATGTGCTTGTGGTCCTCAACCCCCAGAAAGCCAAATTTTGTCACCGTTGCTGGGCTGAGTTTCCTGCAGACAAACAGGNCACCTGCTGGGATCCTGCATGGGACCGGGGTGGGAGCGAGCACAGCACGGCCCCAGCTGAGGGACTGGATGTGCCCAGATGGGTTTGTCAGCCCTTGTGCTCGGGGTGGCAATGCCCTTGTGCAGTGTCACCTCCCTGGAGCACCTTCCTGATGTCCCCTGCAGCTCTGGAGGTGTTCCCTGGGCAGGGACAGCTCTTTCCTTTGGCAGAGACAGATTTTCCCCTTGCAGAAACACGTTTTCCCCTTGCAGGGACGGCTTTACCCCATGCAAGGACAGCTTTTCCCCATGCAAAGACAAATTTCCCCTTGCAGGGACAGCTTTTACCCCTTGCAGGGACAGATTTTGCCCCTGCAGGGACAAAATTTCCCCTTGCAAGGACAGTTTTCCCCTTGCAGGGACAGCTCTTTCCCCATGCAGGGACAGATTTTCCCCTCAAAGGGGCAGATTTGCCCCTTGCAAGGACGGTTTTCCCCTTGCAAGGACAATTTTCTCCTTGGCAGGGACAGCTTTACCCCTTGCAGGGACAGATTTTCCCCTTTCAGGGGCAGATTTTCTATTTTCAGGGATACCTTTTCCCCTTGCAAATCCAACTTTTCCTTGCTGGGACAGCTCTTTCCCTTGCAGTGGCAGCTTTACCTCTTGCAAGGACAGATTTTCCCCTTGCAAGGACAGATTTTCCCCTTGCAGGGACAGATTTTCCCCTTGCAGGGGCAGATTTTCTCCTTGCAGGGACAGCTTTTCCTTTTCCAGGGGCAGATTTTCCCCTTGCAAATCCAACTTTTCCTTGCTGGGACAGCTCTTCCCTTCAGGCTGGAGCAGGAAGGTGACTCAGAGCACTTGGGGTGTCCCAGCAGTCCAGAACATGGCAGTGGGCTGTGTCCCCCCACCATGGCTGGAATCAGATGGTCTTTAAGGTCCTTTCCAACCCAAACCTCCTGTGATTCCATGAAAATTCCTCATCTTGAGGCTGGGATTTGCTTTTGGTTGCTGCTCCTCCCGCTCCTGCTGATTCAAACCTCCCATCCCCTTTCCTTGCCTGTGGCTCAGCTGATGGAAACCTCTGGAAGTCCCTCAGCTTCAGCAGGGATGGGCAATGCCCAGGGTGTCTCTTGTGCCCTTTCCCAAGGGTTTCAGAGGTACCTGGAGCAGGAACCCCTTTCCCAAGGGGTTCAGAGGAACTGGAGCTGCAGCCCCTGCCTTGTGTGGGGAGAGCTGAGGGGCTGGTGCTGAGCTCAGGGTTCCTCTGCCATCATGGGGACCTGCAGTCCTGAGTCCCCCTGTCCTGAGTCCCCCTGATCTGACTCCCCCTGTTCTGAGTCCCTCTGTCCTGCCTCTGCTTCCACTGGACAAACTGGACTCTGTACCTGTTTGAATCCACCTCTTTGCTGAATCCTCTTCCCAGCTTGTCTGGCTGTCCCTGAGCTGGGCAAAATCCTGCCCTGGGATCTCAGAGGTTGAACCAGGCCTGGACACATCCTCAGGATCTCAGCAGAGATCTGGATCTCAGCTTCTTCCCACCTCCATCTCCCACCAGGCCATTTTAACCTTCTTCCAGCAGGACTGGAAGAATGACTTTATTCATAGCAATGACTTTATTCACTCCAGAGCAAGGCAGAGCAGGATGTGTGGGGGGCACAGGGGGGGTCACAGCAGCACGCTGACAGCTCCCAGGGGGGATCACTGTGCATGTGGGGTGCTGCCAGCCCAGCCCCAGCAGCAGCCTGACCTAAAAGTGCTGCCTGGTGTCTTTGCAGCCGCGTGAGAAGGGGCGGATGCGCTTCCACCGCCTGCAGAACGTGCAGATTGCCCTGGATTTCCTGAAGCAGCGACAGGTGAGGGCTGATAAAAGCTCATCCAGCAGAGCTGGGTGGTTTTGTGTGTTCTTTGTCTTGTCTGAGGCTTTGGGAGGAGTGCAGGAGCAGCCTGTGCTGGGGTGTGCCCGTCTCTGTGGCGCTGATGGAGGATGGGTTGCAGGGGGATTTTACTCTGTGGATTTTCCCCTGTGGGTGTTGTGCCTCTGGAAACCAGCCCTGCACACAAAAACCACTGTGAGAAAGGGACCTGAGCCCAGCTCTGACAAGGGGTTGGCAAATGTCATTTCTGCACCCCAAAAAGGCTCCCCTGGGGCTCCCTGGCAGATCCCTGCTGTGGGCATGGGTGGCTGTGGCACGTCTGTGCCTTCCCACCAATTTTTGGGGACATGTGGCAGCTGGCTCTGCCCAGCCCACACAGCCTTGACCTCGGGGCTCATGGACTTATTATCCCCCAGTTTTTGGAGGGCAGGCTGTCTCCAGCAGGGCTTTTGGGAGCTGCACAGCCCTGGGCAGATCCTGCCTGGAGCAGGGGGATGCATCCCGAGACTTGTTGCCTCCACAGCCCCAGGGGCTGGGTGTCCCGTTCTGCCTGTTGGGTCAGGTCCTCCCCACCGTGATGCTCCCAGATATGCCAAGGTGATGATGATGATGATGATGATGATGATGATAAATGGTACCAGTTCATGCTGGAGCAGAGACTCCTCTCCCTCGCTGCTGGCCCGAGGGCATGGAATAAATTTGAGCACATTCCCTACTCCAGGGAGGGCGAGCTGCTTCCAGCCCCCCTCCTCCTCCTCCTCCTCCTCAGCTCCTTGATAGAGACATTTTGCCAGGGGCTCTGGGGAACTTGTTTCTCCACTTGGATGAAACAGCTTTTTCCTTTGAAGTGTGGTGGCCTTGCTGGGATCTTCCCCCAGAATGATCCATGGGGTGCTGGGGAGAGAGGACTCCCCCTGGGAGGAGTGAGGGTGTTCCTGCCTTTATTAGAGCTGGGTTTTGAGTTAAAGCTGGAGTTACAGCTTGGCCATCCCCTTTTTGCCCCCTCTCTGTGCTCTGTAGCTGTTCAATTATGCACCAGTGCTCAGGGCTTTGGGGATGCTGCTCTGTGAGCTGAACTGAAGCCATTAAGTGTTGGGAAAGCACTTCAGGATGGAGAGTGCTGGAAACATGGAAAAATCCATCTCTGCCTCTTTGGGAAGCCCTGGGATCTTCCTGTGTGCCTGCTCCTCACTGGGGTGGCCCTGGGGACAGCGTGGTGGGGACGTGTCCTTGTGCTCTCCATGTGAAGCTTTAACCCTGTTTGCCTTTTTTTTCCAGGTGAAACTGGTGAATATCCGCAATGATGACATCACAGATGGCAACCCCAAGCTCACCCTGGGGCTCATCTGGACCATCATCCTCCACTTCCAGGTAGGACAAGGGATTTTCTTGCCGTCAGGAGCTGTGGAATCCTTGTTTTTCTGCGTTTTCCATGGAGATGTCAGAGCATGGATGGGCCTGGAGGTTCATGGCAGTGTCATGGAGACCACGCTGGGAGAGCAGCAGCAGCTTCCCCTCGTCATTTGCATAATGAAATCGTTAATGATGGGTTGTGTGGTTTGTTGGCCGTGGCTGTTTGCTCAGCTGGAGTGTCTGGAGGAGAAGAGTAAATTTTTAAGGGGCCAGGGGTTTTATCCCAAGGCACTGCTGACCCTTGGGGTGAAGAACTTTTCACTGACATGGAATGTGTCAGCCGGGTGACAGCACAGGCATGGCAGAAATGCCCTGACCTGGGTTTGTGTCTGTGTGCTAGAGATGCTGTTGGAAAAGCAAATTTTGGGTCTTTTATGGCTTCAAATCATCCAATTGTAGCTCTGATGGCTTCAGAGGGTGATGTGTGGCCATCAGTGAGTTGGCATTTGGGGTTTGGTGGCCTCAGGGGGTGATGTGTGGCCATCAGTGAGTTGGCATTTGAGGTTTGATGGCCTCAGGAGGTGACCTGTGGCCATAGTGAGTTGGCATTTGGAGTTTGATGGCTTCAAGGGGGTGACCTGTGGCCATCAGTGAGTTGGCATTTGGGGTTTGATGGCTTCAAGGGGGTGACCTGTGGCCATCAGTGAGATGGCATTTGGGGTTTGATGGCCTCAGGTGGGTGATGTGTGGCCATCAGTGAGTTGGCATTTGGGGTTTGATGGCCTCAGCTGGGTGATGTGTGCCCATCAGTGAGTTGGCATTTGGGGTTTGATGGCCTCAGGGGGTGACCTGTGGCCATCAGTGAGTTGGCATTTGGGGTTTGGTGGCTTCAGGGGGTGATGTGTGGCCATCAGTGAGTTGGCATTTGGGGTTTGGTGGCCTCAGGTGGGTGATGTGTGCCCATCAGTGAGTTGGCATTCGGGGTTTGGTGCTGCCAGCAGCTCGTTGGCCATGTGGCATCAGCTCTGTGGGATTTTCTGCATGCCAGCTCCCTGCCTTATCCCTGCTGGCATCTTCCAGGCAGGACTAGTGTGGCTGTGAGGCTCTTAAGGAAGATTCCACTGGAAAATTGTATTTTTTGGAGGCTGGGCAGTGCCTCAGGGAGAGGGTTTTGGGGTCAGCATGGGCTGAGCTGGGTGTGAGGCTGCTGACAGGGCTCTTCCCAGGCTTTGGCCCTGGGAGCAGCCGGGGTCAGGCTCTGCATGCTGATGAGTCACTGTCATTCTGTGGGGCCCTGGCTGTGGCATCTCGTCCTTGCTGTCCTTGTGGTCATCCTGGTGCCTCATCCTGTTGCAGGAGAGGGACATCAGGAGGTCCTGGGTGCCCTCCATGGCTGGGAGGGGACACTGCCACCCTGGTGTGGGTGACATAGGAGCAGGGCTGGTGCTGGTGAGCCTGTGCATCCTGCTCCCACTGCTGCACTAACGGGATTTTTTCTGGGGTTGTAGCTCCATTGTGAACCTCTTAATCTCCCTTAGTGTCCCAGTGCTGCTGCCTGGGGGCAGGCGGCTGGGAGAGCCCCAGAGGGGTTGGGGATGGGATGGTGCTGCTGTGGAGCTCAGGCTCTGCCAGCTCTGTCGTGGTGAGGATGAGGAGGGTGCCCCGGTGCCCTGGGGGCTTTTCCTCATGTTCTGAGAGCTCTTGTGGTCACTGTTTTCCCTTAGTCATCTTCTGGATTGCTCCCTGTTGAGCGTTCCCTCGTTGAGCATTTCCTCATTGAATGTTTCCCTGCTTCCTGGGGCTCAGCTCAGTCCCCCCATCTTTATGTCCCCAGTTTTTGCCTCACCCCCACTTTTGGTGCGTGTTACCCTGCCCTGGTCCCTCTGAGCTGGCAGGCAGAGTTGGGGTGCTCATACCCCTCAAACCCCTGCCCTGGGAGGCGTTTGGGGCAGGAACCACAGGGGAGAGGCAGAACTGGGCTGGGCAGCATCATCTTCCTCCCGTTCCCGTTCCTGCTGGGACCCTCTGGCTGCAGCTCCCTGGAGCGATGCTGGGTCCCCAGGGCACCTCTGTGCCCCAAACTGGGTGAGCCTGGCAGCACATCAGTTGGGCTTTTGGGGCTCCCGGAATGAAGAATGAAGAATGAAGAATTAAGAATTAAGGAGCAAACCTTGCGAACTGGAGAGAAGCAGCCCTGCGGAGCATGCAGAGTCACTCTGACTCCTCCCTGCTTTTTTTTCTTTTTTTTTTTTTTCCCTTCCCATTTCTTTCCCACCCCTTCCTTTATTCTACCTTGGCCAACCTTCCTTTAGGTTTTGTGTTTTATCCCCGTCTTCCCCAGCCTCTCCCACTCCCCTCCTCGATTCCTGCTCCCCCCTGTTTGTGTTGGCAAGGGCCGTGCTCCAATTACCTCATATTTGGAGAGAAGGACGCCGCAGCCAATCCCCGCTCCCTCTGCTTTTAGGTCAAGTGATTTCTGAACTGCAGTGAGATGCTTTGAATTTGTCTTCTCGCAGCGCCCAGGCTGTAAGATGGCTGTCTGGAGCGGCGGCGGTGGCGGCAGGGCTGGCGGGAGGGGACGGCGACAAGGGGCGCTCGGTGGAACGCGGTGTCGGATCCGATGAAGCCCCGCTTGGGATTTATTCGGGAGCCGGCGACTCGCTCAGCTGCCTTCCTGCCGAGCAGCGGGAGATGGGGAATTCGCTGGGCTGCGTTAAAGAGCAGAAGGAAAAAGCTGCGGGGAGGAAGGCACCGCTGTCTCCCAAAAAAAGGGTGCGCTTCAAGCGGAGGCGGAGAGGGAAGAGGAGAGCGATGCCCGAGGCGGCCCCGCAGGAGGAGCCGCCGCCGCTGGAGGTGGCCGAGGATGAGGATGAGGCGCTCAAAGCGAAGGCATCCCCAAGGCAGGAGGGAGGAGAGGAGGAGCCCTCCGGCAGCCNGGTGGGCACTGGAGTGGGGAAGGGATGCGATACTGCGGATCTGGAGGGGTCTGGTGAAAGAAAATCCCCAAAAACAAAAGTGGGGTGACACAGCTTCCCTGGCGTTGGGAAGGGATGTGATATTGCTGCTTTGGAGGGGTCTGGTGCAGGAAAATCCCTAAAAACCAAAAGTGGAAATGACACAGCTTCCCCTGCCCACTCCATCAATCCCCAGTGGGCACTGGAATGGGGAAGGGATGTGATACTGTGGATCTGGAGGGGTCTGGTGCAGGAAAATCCCTAAAAACCAAAAGTGGGGGTGACACAACTTCCCATGCCTGGGGTTATGGGCTTCATCCATGCCCACCAGGCACTGGAGTTGGGAAGGGATGAGATACTGTGGATCTGGAGGAGTCTGGTGAAGGAAAATCCCTAAAACCAAAAGTGGAAGTGACACAGCTTCCTAGGCTGGCACCGGCAGCCCCGATGCTCCTGCAGCCGTGCCAGGGCTGGAGCCTGGCAGGATGGGAAGGGAGGGTGGATGTGGCTCAGCCCACGGGTGGATTTTGGCTCCTGGTTCCGTGCAGTGCCCTGGGGACGGAGGGGGACGCAGGGAGGGGACGCCTGTGTCACCCTGTGCCACGTGTTTGGGGGAAGGCACGGGGTGGGTGAGGAAGAGGAAGAGGAAGCACCGTTGGGTGGTGCTTTGCAGTCTGCGTGGATGGAGACATGGGGAGGTTTCCCCAGGACTTCTGGGGCTGTACAGGGACCCCCAGTGATCCCCCCCAATCCCAGGAGGGGGTTCTGGGGCTGTCCTGGGGAGCTTGGCCTGGGAAATGTTGGTTTTGTTTTCCTTTTTCTCCATTTTTGACTTAAAACCAAAGCAAGGGGTGCTGCTGCCTGGTAGACCCTGAGGTCAGAGATGTGTTTTGGGTGAGCAAGGCTCATCCTTTCCTGAAATATCCATGGGATCTTCTGGTCTGGACATGCAGTGCTCAGGGTTGTGTGCTGTGGGTTGGTGCTGGGGATCTCTTTTTGCTCCATGATTATTGTGCTCCATGGTTTTTGTTGAATCCTGCTGGACACAGCGCTGCCCTGAGCCCCCCTCACTGCCTGCAGAGCTGAGTGGGACCCCCCTGCCCTGTGGGACCATCTCATTTAGCCTGTTTGTCTATGTTTTTCCTCTGGTATTGTTTTTTCATGGAGCAAAAAGTCTCTCTAGAGCTCCCCCATCGCTGTTGGCATCACCACAAATGTGCCATCTTGTCCCCCCTGGGGGTGGCACCCACATTGTCACCCTGTCCTGGCAGCACTCAGAGCTCCCAGTGCCCGGCCAGGGCTGAGCTGTGGGACAGAAATAAACATTAAATCCTGGCAATCCAATGAACCAAAAATACAGGGGCAGAATAAGCTGTTAATTGCACGCCGGGCCAGGACCTGTGATGGGACATCTGGGGGTTTATGTAACACCCTAAAACCTTCCAAGAGTGGGCAGGGGAAGGGGGGGACACCTTCCTAAAATCGGGCAAACCCCCCTGTGCTGCCTCTGGAGGAGGTGAGGAGTCACAGAGAGGGTGAATTCTGGTTGTACCCATCCCAGCCATCCACGCTGCTTTCCTTGAGCATCCTTATTCTCAGCAGAGAAAAATAAAAGGTGTATTTTGGTTCTGGCTGTCATTTCCCTGCCCTGGGGGCATTCTGGAGCCTCCTGAACGGCCCCATCCCGCAGCATGCCCTGAATAAGCTGCCTCTGTTCCCCGTGCCCTGCGCTGGCACCGCCGGCGATGCCTCTGTCTCTTCCCCTCATTTCAAAACCGTTTGAGTTTCTGCATGGGAACCACTGACCAAGAGCTGCCTTTGTCTCCTTTTGACAGATGAACGGGACAGAGTCCAAAAGAAAACCTTCACTAAATGGGTCAATAAACACTTGATGAAGGTAAGAGTCGCGGATTTTGTTGTAAAGCCACTGAAATGACCATCCCTCTGCCTGCTGCAGCTCAGGACTGGCAGATAAATGACTTTTTAAGGGTTTTTAAGTTTTTTTTTAATGCCAGCACTGTTTGTTTTGAGTGTTCATGTGAGTCAGAGCAGAGCAGGATGTGC